GGGAAGCCTCGCAGAGAGAGACTCCCCTCGCCTGTCCCACAGCAGACAGGACACATGTAAAGCCACTCTAAAGTACAGTCACACAATTACCCAGACATGAGCGCTGGAACAGCATCACACATGATCCAGACACCCACAGGAATCATCACAGATCCTTCAGACACAGCACATGTAAACATACCCATGCATACATCAAGACAGACACTTCATAAAGCCACACAGATGTATAAGCACATGCATATTTAAATACAAGAATATACCCATAAATGCATAAAACACATTCTTGCAAGGACACACATGCTTAGAGTCACATATATGCAGATATGCTTACATTCTGTCCCTCAAGTGTCCCTTCCCAGTAGTTCTATAGACCCAATGCTCTGTTGTGCCCTCACTCACTACGGACAGCCCTCTGCAAGGTCATCATATGAAGGCAAATGCTGTGTGAGTATGTGACCCATGTTCTGTGTATGTCCACATGTCTAGGTTGGCATATGTGAGTGTCACTGGTAGCCTGTGTGACTCTAATCCTGTTTGTCTCTTTGTGACACCATGGGTATTCTTCCATGCATGTCTGTGTGTATTTCTGGAAGGCCCTATGTATGCCTGTGTGTACCCATCTGTGTGAATGTGAGGGTGGGAGAGAGGGGAATTTTTTATATCGGTGAGACTGCATTCTGTGAGCCATCTCTCTGGGAATGTCTGTATATGTTCATCTATGTGTGTATTTGCCTATCTGCATGTCCCATGGATATATGGTTCTTGGGTCCAGGCTCCACAGGCTGCCTGAGCTGGCACCCCTGCCAGCAGAGACCGTGGCCTGGGGTGGGGCCGGGAGGGACTGGACTGAATCCCCTGGCCTGTGACAGTCGTATTTACAGAGCTCCGAGTAGGACGTAATTGCTTCTATTAATCTTTCTCCGGTTGTTAATTGCTCACTTATCGGGTTGTGTATTATGCCGACTGTTGCTCTTAATTCGCCTCCATAGCTGCAGGTGTTTGCTGCCTTATTAACTGTTAATCGGTGCGGCTAGGGATGAAGACTTAATTGGCCCCCAGAGTGGGACACAGGCAGGCCAGTTGGGCACTGCCAGGTTCACAGCCTGTCCCTGGAACCCTCACCTGTGGAGCACAGGTGGCTGGCCCACCGCCATCCACCGGCAGACAGCAGTCCTGCACACAGCAGTCAGAATGACAACTGCCGGGTATGGCTCCCATGCAGTCCTCCCTCCTCCAGGAAGCCAACCAACTAATCAGAACCCAGTTCCTAATACCCCTCTCCATCACCAACAATCTTCCTCCACCAAAATAGGAGCCGACCTCATTTAAGAAAAAAAATCATCTGAGCGTAATCAAGAATGAAGATACCCACCTACAGTGAAACTGTTTCTCCCCCCGCAATGCTTCTTCTGCCTTTTCTCTGACCCTAGCAGCCAAGGTTGAAGCTCCAAAAGGAAGTTACAGAGACACTAGAAAAAAGGAGAGCAAGACGGAGCTTCTGCCAGAAAAGGAAGGGCCAAAGTTAGACCCAGGAAGGACTTCCCAGCTTTTGAGGAGGGGATCTGGAGCAGTTGGAGTCCAAACAAAAACAAGAACATCCAGGAGGGGATCTGCTGCTCCCTCCCAGCCACACTCAAGGCGTCCCTCTCTATGTCCTCTGCTTGCACAGCCCCAAGAACAGAGGACTCATTCCCTCCATGGCACTGTTACACAGCTGCAGCAGTGAGTGGGCTCTCCGTACTGAGCGGACTTCTTACTCAGCTTACACAGACACAGCAGAGGAGTCCCAATTGTGGCAACGGAGGCCCATAAATGGCAAAGGAATGGCCCCAGAGTCTCCAGGCCCTCTCCGGTAAAGACTCAGACATGTGGCTCTCCAAGTGAAGTTTCTGTTCTCAGTCTCCCCCGCATCCTCCAGACCCGCTCCATCCCACACATCTCAGGCTGGGCTAGTACTTCCTCTAGTACCACCTCCTCAGCTCTGGTCTTCAGGCCTCCCAACCTCAGCTGCAGCTGCCTCAGACTCCAGGCCTCTGGGACAGGAATGCAAGGTTTCTGGAAAGAGTAGGCTTCGTAGGAGAAACAAGGATGAGGGAGGAGGAGGATCCATGCCCACCAGCCTGGCCTCCAGCCCCCAAGAAGGACAAACAGGCAAACCAAGAGTCCTTATCCTGTGCCTGGAATCCAGTCTGCCCTGACATCTGGAAGCTCTTCCTGGTGTCTAGTGGCCATGTCTTGAGCTGCAAAGAAAGTTGATTTGCCTTGGTTGGGTCCTGAGAAGAGCCGGGCTCTACGGAGGGAGAGAGGGGTCTACCACTGAGTGTTTACTATGTGCCAGAAGTAGCAATAAGTGTGTGTAAAAATGGCATCCTCTCACATAACCTAGTAAGTTAGGGATTAGTATCTCTAATTACAGAGAAGGAACTGAGTCATAGAGGGGGAGACTAAACTTGCCCAAGGCCACACAGACAGGAAAGGGCAGAATTGGTGTGCCAACACAGATGAACCTGCACTCCGATTCATGCTAATGGTTCAATAAGGGAACACGGGGGCCCGGGGGTCACTACCACAGTTCACTCACCCACCCCAAATCTGAGAAACAAAACACTTACACATGCGCAGCCCACTGGCCCATCAGACGGGACGACAGAGCAAAGCAGGGGAACTAACTGCCCAGGGATAGTTGCCCAAGCAAGTTCCGGCTCCGCCTCTATGTTAATGACATGCAGATATATGTAAATTTGGACACGCAACCGCTCAAACCTTTGGGAGCAATGGGGTGTCACGGGAGCGGTTGCCATGGAAATCCAAAAGCGCACCCGCTCCCCACCGCCACCCCCCGCACAGGCAGGCGCACAGGCACGTGCACAAAGACGCCGGCTTCTCCGCTCCGGAGCCCGAGGATCGCGGAGTGGCGGAGGGTGTGAACCGGAAGGACCCTAGGAGCCGGCGTGCAGGCGCGGGGAGCTGAGGCCCGGAGACAGCCGCGGGGAGAGCGGCGTAGCGATCCCGGCCAGCCTGGGGCGACCTCCGCTAAAACCCCGGGAGCTGCGTGGCCCTTCGGGGCCCCGGCGACCGCGACTCCGGGCTAGCAACGCGAACCCCGCCCAGGGTTGCATGGCAACGTCCCTCGAGCCTAGCAACGGCCGGCCACGCCCCCTGGCCACGTCGGGCCCGAAACCTGCTCCTGGCCTCCGCCGAGAGGGAAAGGCAAGGGGCTTGTGGACCCGGGCCGAAAGGGGGTGGGGGTCATGCCCAGCCCCCGCCTCGAATGTCAGGCGACAGGGTTTCGGGGTTCACCCACAGCTCTCCCGCGGGTGAGATGTTAGCCGCGTTACCATCCTCACTCACACAGGGGAAAACTGAAGCTCCGAAAGGAAGTGCCTACCCGGACAGAGCATGTTTCTCCCTGTGTGCCCCGGAGGGCAGCGAACGTTCTCTCGTCTCCCCGGGAGGACGCCCTGGGCCTGTGGGAGAGGGGTGCACAGCCGTCTCCTTCCGCCCCTATTGCGTTAGGAACACCTCCCAAGTTGTGGACTCGGAATGGAGCTGTAGGTTTGCATAGTAATTTGCGCCATTTGCATATAGCGCGGAGGCTGCGGCGCTTGGATGCCCCTCGGGGCCGGAAAAGTTCCCGAAGGGGCTCCGCCCCCTCCCCGGATTCACCTGTCCAGCCTCCTGTGTCTGCCTTCCACCCGCACCCACCCGCCCCCACTTCCAATTCCTTCCGCTAAGTTCCCGCACCTCGCCCTGCCCCCAGCTCTAACTCCCGTCCGGCCATCCCCGACCTCCATCCCAAGGCCGAGGGCCCCCTCTGCTGTCGGCCGCGGGAAGGGCAGCCGCAGAGCTCATGGGGCAGAGAAGAGGGGTTCCCCGGACCAGTGATCGCCCCACCCCTCCCAGGCCAGCAAAGTACAGGGCGAGGACCGTATAAGGGTAGACTTCACGAAGGGGTGGGCAGCTGTACATCCCTTCAGGCCCCGGGGCGAAGGGTGGGGTTCTGCAGGGGGTTCTCTCCAGAAGAAGCTGCTTCCCCAGGCTGGGTGGGTCAGCCAGGGACAGCTAGTTCCCGGCTCAGTCCCCGGACTCAGTGCTCTCGAGTACACCCCACACAAGACGCTCTACAATTACAGATGCTGTTAGAAGGTCATTCCACAGCCAGGCAAAGCAACACCATCCAACCCTGACATCAGCCTCCAATCCCACCCTGAATGCCCACCCCCAAGGCCAAGACCTTTGATTTTCTCCAATACTAATTTCTGGGAGCTGACACAAGGTAGAGAAAGGAGTCACCCTATCTGGATCTCCCTACCTCCTCAACAGAGACCTACACACAGACGGTCAGACCCATACACATAGAGACACACACATGCTCACAGGCACACACTTGCAGAGACCCCCACAGCAGCACACAGACACACAGACCACACAGCACACCACACATACGGTGGGGCTGTGTGTTCCAATGTCCCCCCACAACTATCCAAAGGAAAACATTTCGGTATTAAGTGGAAATTTTTTAAACTACTGCAAATTGTTCTCCCTGTGCCCCCTCCAAAAGGCTCTGTCCATTTCTCGCTCCACCCCATCCCACCTCAGTCCAGCCTTCTCTCCCACCACCTCTTCTTCCTCCTAGTTCAGAATACTTGCAAAATGCTTCCAGAAGCCACAATGGCAACAGCTGCCCGGGGGCACATTGATGATTCAGGACCTCAGACCTACCAGCAAGTGTGTACATCTGTGATCGGATACTCACAGACACACGCACCATACAACCTGGCCGGGACCAGGGTCTCTCTTGACAAGGCAGCAGATGCAATCCCAACTTGCCAAATTCTTTATTGAACAAAAAAAGTCAACCACAAAAAGACTGCAGGACAGGACACAAACAGAGCAGGTGGTAGAGCCGGCCTGCTCCCCCTTCCAGCCCTGTCTCTCTCTGGAACAGCTCAGTGTTCAGCACAGGTGAGAGAATCAAAACCCTTGGTGGCTGAGGGGAGTCAGGCCTTTCTAGGGAGGGGACATTCACAGCCTGCTCCATCTGTAGGGCCCAAAGAGGAGTCAGGGGCTGGGAAAGGGGTGTCTGGAGCTACGGGAGGCTGGGCAGATGCTACAGAGGATGGGGGAAGGAGCTCCTGGCCTAGGGGCCACAGTGAGGCTTGGAGCTGATAACTCACAGACACCAGGGATTTCAGGTGCTGGTGCAGAGCTTGGTGGGGACAGGAAGCCCTGTGGAGGTGCTGGCCATGGCCCAAGCCACAGGGAGCTGATGCTGCTGAGTAGGGATGTGGGGCATGGCACCAGCCTGGCTCAGAGGGCCATCGCCCCCGTCCAGGACCCTGCCAGGCTTCAGGCTCTACCCACAGCCTCCCTCTGCCTCTGGGGAGCCTCTGCCAAGCACAACTTCCCCTTGGAGCCAGGCTGCCCTTGTTCTGGCTCTGCTGCTGGGCACCTCCTGAGAGAGGGGAGCCCTTCAGGGCCACATCCAGCCTCTTGCCCTCTGGCTGGTAGTATCTCATGTCCACTTTCCTGTTGAAGGAGACCGTCTTTTGTACCTTCCCCAACAAGAGGCTGGACCCTGCTGTGTCTGGAAGCCCTTTCTTGGGAAGCAGCACGGCCAGCAACAGACTTGAGTGAGTGGTTTCCAGACCTGGCGAAAGGAAGGAGACAAGGAGGGAGAGGCCAAGAGACCAAAGGCCTGGCTGGGGAGAGTACAGCCCCCAGAAGCTGCATTCTAGCCAGCAGCAGAAAGCCAAGAAGAGCTTCTCCACAGTCACAGTGAGATGGGGGCCCGTGGGATTCTGGGGAAAGTAAGTGGGAGAATGAGACTGTCTCAGAAGATTCATTCTCAGCACTTGGCTGAGGGTGGGGCATGGATGGCTGGACCTCAGGACTCTGGATTCAAAGTCTCCCTCATTGCCTCAGGACATGCAGCCCAGAAAGGCCAAGCACTTTGCTCAGCTTGGCCCAGCATAGCTTGGTGAAATATCTCTTCCTATCTCAGGTGACATTTTCAGTCAATTGTTTATGGCTCCTGCCACTGTCCTGCTGCCTGGGTCAAATGAGGCTGTCCCAGGAGTTTCTGTTCAGGGACTGGAGAGGCAGCGGAGTGCGGTGGTCAGGCCGTTTCTGGAGCTATGCTGCCCAGGTGTGAAGCCCAGCTCTGCTACTGACTGGCTGTGTGACTCTGGACAAGTCACTTATCTTCTCCCTACCTGTTTTCTTATCTGTAAAATGGAGAATCTCACGGTACCATTCTGATAGGGCTATTTTGAGACTACACGAATTCCTCTAGGTAAAGTTTTTGGGACAATGACTGGCACACAGTAAGCAGTATCCAAATATAAGCTATTGTTTTTGGCATCACATTGGCCCGTGTCAGGTGTTCCCTTCTGAGATGCGCCTGCCTCCGCTGAGACACAGACGGCTGTCAGCCACACCCAGTCTGGTCACCAAGCACAGGGCACTCACCTGGGCCCCCCAGAGGGCGCAGTCGGGTGGGCAGGGGCTGGAAGGCAGGCAAGGGCAGCAGAACCACTTCCGTGTGCTCCACGGCTGCCAGGCCATGGCGCTGCTTGTCATTGAGGTAGGAGTAGAGCAGGCGGCAGTTGTGGGTGTCCTGAGTCCCGTGTGGGCACAGTCTGACCACGCAGACGTCCTGGGTTGCGGGAGAAGAGCAGCGTGAGGTGCAGTCATCCTTTGCTCCTGTGAACACCCCCAGGCTCACCTAAACCGCTGAGAGCCCTGTGAGGAAGCATGCCCCCATCTCACGAAGCAGGAAACTGAGGGACCTGCCCAGGGTCACACAGTGAGTCTGCAGTCACACAGGGAGCTAGACCCAGATATCCCACACCAGGCCTCTGCTCGGGAAGTGGAGAGGGAGGGACCCCAGGGGTGGGATAAGTTGCTGGGAGAAGGGGGGTGCCCAAGAGTGGGCAGTTACCTTGGCCTCGGCAGGACAGACGCTGGCCAGAAGGTCCCAGACAGTGTTGGGGGTGATGCAGCCTGCGGAGCGGATCACCTTGGGCAGAGCCTGGGGGCAGGAAGGACAGTGGTCAGCCCCCCATTCCCCACCCACTTGGAGTGGACTCCTCCCAGCCACCAGGAGAGCCAAAGCCTGAGGCACATATGGGCAGGCAGAGTTGCAGGATGTTGGTGGCTGCCCAGAAAGCGCTAATTGCCCTTGAGGTCTGCAGCCTGCCCTGGCCAATCTCCAGCAGCTTTTCAGAAGCTCCTCCCTCCTCTACTTCCACCCTTGTCCAACTCTTAGCTGATCATTCAGTCACTCAAAGATCACTCTGAAAACCCTCGCTGGGCCAGAGAGGCACCAGCCTCCTTCCAGGGCCTTCTTGCTGGATACCTTGGGTGACAGGGAGTCCTTTACCCTGTGTGTCTCTGGGACTGGAGCGTGATTTGTCCCCACGCCTCACACAGGGCCAGGCACAGAGAGAGGTGCCAATGACTTGCTTTAGAATGAGTAAAAGGATGGATGGATGGATGGATGGATGGATGGATGGATGGATGGATGGTGAGTGAATTGCCTG